GGTTCTGTATGGGTGTGAAACTTGGTCTCTGACATTAAGGGAGGAACATAGACTGAGGGTGTTTGAGAACAGGGTGTTGAGGAGAATATTTGGACCGAAGAGAGATGAAGTGACAGGAGGTTGGAGAAAGCTGCATAATGAGGATCTTCATAACTTGTACTCTTCTCCAAGTATAATTAGAATGATCACATCAAGGAGGGTGAGGTGGGCAGGTCATGTAGCACGAATGGGGGAGACGAGGAATGCATATAGGATATTGGTGGGAAAGAGACCACAGGGAAGACCAAGATGTAGGTGGGTGAACAATATTAGAATGGGTCTTAGAGAGATGGGATGGGATGGATTGGATAGATCTGGCTCAGGATAGGGACCAGCGGAGGGCTCTTGTGAACACGGTGATGAACCTTTGGGTTCCATAAAATGCTGGGAAATTCTTGAGTAGCTGCAGAATTGGCGGCTCCTCAGAAGGGCTCAGTAAGTAAGAGGCTTTTGGTGAGAAGCAGAAGAGAAGAGATTATTGGGAAGATCTACACATCATAATTGGGAGGGTGACATTACCTTTTACGTCTGAAGTGCACATATCTGTACGCTGAAAGCTAAATTCATCATGGCCAGAGTACACATATTTGTGCATTTGGGCATTTAAACACTGCTAGATAAGCGCATGCACCATTAAAAAAAAACTAAAGCTATCCCTGTACCAGGCCGTGAAGGCCCATAGGGTTGTGAGATGTTGAAGGTCCCACACTATCTAGACAATCGGCTCAAAGATGGCGGTAAGGTTGTCAGTCTTACGTGCCCGCCGCGCTTTTCTCCCCAGGAAATTAATTAATTAATTCCTGTTACCAGTTTCTGTTAGAAGCTGTGTAAACCCCAGGGCCTAGTGTGGCTGGAAGGATTAGGTCAACGGAAAAAATCCAATGACCTCATCAGGACTTGAACCCATGACCTTCCGGCTTGTAACGTATCCCCTCAACCAACTATGCAACCACGTGCCCCCGCACCATCCTAAATAATTATTTTTAAATATAATAAAATTCAGTGTTCATACCATTCTTTGTTGTTATCTGCTTCATCCCCATGTGATCTAACTGAATCTCGCCTTTGTATGTTAAACCTTGAAGCATACAAGAATACACCGTCACATGTCACATTTCCTGCACTTCGTGGGGATACTTTTCCTCTTCCCACATGCGGAAGAAATGCAGGAGTTCAATGTCTTGGCTGAGGAGGTTGGGCAGTGATCTTCATTAATCTCCTCTAGGCTAGATATGGTAGATGACAGAGCAGGAGGTTGACCTATGGGCCGTTGTGGTTAAGAGGGAACCCTTGAAGCATGTCCGAGCATGTTGTGCGCAAGGGAGTAACAAAAGTCTATGTGACAATTTCAAACCACAATATGATGACAAGATGACAACTGTTCAGAAATGTCAGATCCAGTAAATGGTAGGACAGTTTCTTTATCCATTTCCAGGTCCAGTGATCAGTGGGATAGCTGTTTGTCATCCTATCTGATTTGTCAACATATGACAGTGATGACGGTTGCACGATTTCTTTGTCATCCTCATCTTCATAGACCCAATGATGAGCTTCATCGTCTGTGCAGCAGTTCAAATCAGAATTTAATATCAGCTGCCTTTCAGTTTCATCATCTTCCAAATGACATTTCATTGCCATTGTATGATGAAATGAAAGTACTATATTCAAATTCACTATGAACTCACAGAAAACGGAATGCTCTCTGTAGCTCAGCTGTGATGCAAGCCTTAGGTTGCAACCATAGAAAGGGCACTATTCTCTTGCAGGTGCAGAGACAGAGCTTGGCCATGGTGTACGAAACAAAGAATTTTCTCTCCAGTATCTCCTGAATTCCCATACTTTCACTTTTCTGTCCCTTTAGTCAACAGAGTTGAATATCTGAAGAGTGTAGTGAAGATGTGAACCTTAAGAACAGAAAAACAAATCTGGTTTATAGTGCTTCCAGCTGTTTCATGAAGCCAGAGATCATGGAAGTATGTCAAGTATTACGAGCAGGAATGATTTTATAATGCAGATCCACATTGTGAAGAAGTTGGGCACTCTTGTACAGCACACATCAAAATTACAGAGAAAAAAATCGGGAAAAAAATTAAAAATAGAGTATACCTTTCTGTGTAAATATTTCTAAATCTTATTTTATAATATGTGGCACTATGTTTTTTGCTTATAAAACACCCAACAGCATCAGCAGCAGGCATTTAAATAAACCCCAGCCAGCTCACCCTACAACCATTTAAAAAGTCTGACATTTAAATGTTGATGTGGATATTAGATAAGTGGGTTGAGTGGTATGGACTCGAGTCATCTGGCTGAGGATAGGGACCATTGTGGAAGGCTCTTGTGCACATGGTAATGAAACTTCACATTCCATAAAGTGTTGAGAAGTTCTGAGTAGTCACCTAAACGGTAGGTTTTCAAGGACTCGTCTCCATGGAGTCAGTCGGTCAGGGTGAGAGCCATGCCATAACTCAGGCAGTTAAGATGCTGGCTTCTAGCTGTGGGGAGCAAAGTGGCACTGGAGCAGGTTTTTCTGTAAGTTTATTAAGTCCTCCCATGCTAATCATTCCACCTACATCCCATATTCATCCATTACTGCCTGCTGAGGCGTGTAATGCCTCTGATCATGCAGCATGTTCGGTGTTTTAAGGTCAGGTTTCATCTCTCTGTTTTGAGGCAACCCATATAAAAGTGGAAATGTTAAGTTCCCTTGCAGTCTTACACAGGAAGCACAGTGATTGTGCCATCATTGGAACAATCTGGGTTCCTGTGTTTTGAACTCTCTGAGTGTATTCTGATGTTTCTTTCATTGCAGTGATATCAGACCTTTTCCCCTTGAGTACTGACTTTCAGTTTGGAGATAAAGTAATGCGTATAGCTCTACACACTGCATGAATTGTGATTGACCTCTTAGGCCATGACACTAACAGGTTTGGAGTGCCATAAACATTTACAAACAATGACATGGTACTGCTGGGCTTGTACACACAACAAAACTTCATTAGTTAAGTTCTCAGAGGACCAAGAGTGAAAATTACTTTATCTTGACACCTGTGCTAACAGTAATATATGTTTTATGCAATTGGGAGCTAATTGCTGTGTGTTTACCTTGTGTCAGGGAAATTTTCCCCAGTTTTGGACTGTGTAAGGTATTGAATGAGCATTAAGAAACAGCATTTGAGAGAAGCTGCACCACAAGACACTCATGACAACGTAGTTATAGCAGCTCCAAATGCAAGACAAATGACTTGCCACCCAGTGTGCTTTGTCTGGTGAAGTTTGGCCTGTGTCCACAAAATGGTCATTGTCTTAGACTTTGTACTCTTATGGAAGTAGTATTTCTCCTGAGCAGAAAAGCATAATGGGTAACTATTAAGATATTAGACTGCTGTAAATTAATTTTTTTCTTTTAACTTCGTACATAATTAATCATTACCTTTCTTCTCTAAGGTTGTCTGTGCAATGTATGAGAGACCTGGTTGAAATAGTAGGTGGGCTTTATTTTTCATCACTAAATGTAGAAACATCCATGTGAGAATTCTTATCCTTAGTTTACACACCTGAAGGTTAATCTGTGTCTTTACTTGTAGGACAAAGCCACATCTAATGTTCAGGGTTTTTACAGTGTTTCAGCAAATCTTGGAGGTGACCCCTTCAGTCGTAGTGGGTTTTGGAGTAGTTTTGGCAGCCATTATGTAGCTGTCACATTAGGTGAAACTCTGATTGGATGGACAGAGGCGCAGGAAGGAAGAAAAGAAGAGAGGGAGAAAATACCTAAACATGGCGTTGCTGAAATGTTTTTTATTGCCTCAGTTCATTAACCACATGGATGCTACCTATTGGCTGGCATCCCACTCTTCTGTCTATCACACTGCCTAATGTGAGGACTATAAAAGAACTACTAATGCCCCTTCCAAAGCCATCAACTCTTAAGATGGCAACTGCAAGGTTAGCTGAAATGAGAAACCCTCAGCATTTGATGCAGCCTAATCCTGAGAGCCAAAACCTCACATCATGTGAGAACCTCAGTATTCAGATATTTATAGGTATATAAAAGAACCATTGTTGCACCAAGAAATGTCAGTATCTGCATGATGATGTGCTGCAATATTATGTTGCTGAAGTTGCAGTTCTCTGTTGTAAGCAGGTGAGCTTGGACAGCTGGTTTTGTGACCTTGCGGGGGTTTTGATTTTGTTTCAGCGACTTATCATTGAACGGGATTCTCTGAAGGAAACTAATGAAGAACTGAAGTGCTCCCAGTTTGCTGGAGGAAGCTGTATGAGTGGAACAACTCTCCTTGCAGAAACTGTTTCTGAAAATATGATTCCTTCTGAGATCAGGTATGTGAAAGTCATATTTAAATTTATAATTGAGAACTCTTTTCATATTACTTATTATTGCAATAAATTGCTTTCAGAGAAAGATTGATGCGCTTGCAACACGAGAACAAAATGTTGCGAATGAATCAGCGTGGCCCAGATGATGACAAATTGTCAATGGTTCAGGCACTACTGGATGAATCAACACAGAGAGTAAACCACTTGTGCATGGAAAATAGGTAGGAAATTTGCACAATTTGCTGCTCCAATTGTTGTAATGTTTGCATTGTTTGTACTTCAGCTTGTCATATTATTGTTGTGGCTGCTCAGTCACTGTAAGAATGAAGTGCTCATACTATCTTGTGGGATGTGATACTATATAGTTTATTAGGTAGGTCATCAATCCAAAACCCCATCCATAGCTGCTAAAATCCTGACAGCTGTTGTCAGAAGTGGGATAACTGGATTAGTAAGGATCAGATTGGAAGAACAATTGGGCTGAAGACATTGAAGCATTACATTGACATACTGTGGAGATTGAAGAAGTGACAATGCTGCCTGAAATAAGAGCCAACCAAACTAAGGGAGATCTTAGCGGAAATGAGTGCCTGGTGAAAAAAGATGAAGGTCTGCTGAGAAGTGACAGAAGTCTGTCCAGAAAGAACAGAGACCAGGGTAGAGACTGACAAATACAAATGGAAGACCAAATTAAGACCAGCACGGAAGAAGTGAAAGCCATGGGTTTGGAGGCAAATCCAGAAGAAATAGAGGTTGTAGTGGATTGTTAGAAAGGTCAAAATGAGGAGGCAGCAGTAGAAACGATTGGAGCACAGAAGGACAGGTCTGGTGACTGGTGTCTGGCCTTAAGGGCTGCAGTCATAAAGGATCATTGGTTGAGAAAAGATGACGGAAGAGTCAAGAATGCAACAACGGCATAAGTAACCGAGGCTGAAAGAGCAGCTATGTCAGGGAAGCATGAGACACTATGAGACCCTTGGACAGACCATCATGATGGAGGTCATGAAGCGCACTGTCAGGTCTTCGATGATTCGAAAAATGAGTGCCAAAACATAGTGGAGGAGCCAGCCACTGCCAGAGTGAAAGAAGAGACTACCCACCGTTGGAGTCAGAGATGTAGGAGAGCTGGCCATTCTCAGAAAAGATGATGGTGGTACACCTGGATTGGCTCACACCTTATTAGGGAGCCACTCAGGATGAGCGGCCATAAGGAGTGAGCAGCAGGAGCAGTTGGGGAGTAATTATCATTCAAACGTAACCATGTGGAAGAAAGGTGAAGATGAACACTGACATCACAAACACAGCCCTCAGGAAAGAAGGAATGGTGGTACACCTGTGGGCTATACAGAGTGAGTAGCCTTAAGGAGGGAGCAATGTGGCATGTAGTCCTGTTGCTAGCTAATGACTTACAACAACTGGGGATTCCTCCAGCCCCCACACCTCCACCAGGAATGACTGTCTGCCACCTCTTACAGGTTTGTCTTCCAGCTTTTAACTGCAGACTCACTATCCTTGACTTCTCTAGATTCTTGACTCGCATGTCTGCACTACTCGAATCACTATGACACACAAGCCAGTGTTCCCAGTCATGTCTTTGCTGCACTGTTGGGTAACGCCTTCCAACAGTCGACATTCTTCTAATCCAAGGTTCATGGTCCTGCAGGCTGGCAGCTGTCTCACAAGACTCATAGCTGCTATGCAATGGCTTATGCCACATTATGTACCATATTACTTGACATCACATCCCAGAGAACCATTCTTCGAGAACCACAGATATCACCTAGCTGTATGGTTTGTCAAGATAGGTTTTCCTCTTCCGATAGGTCTATTCCTCAAATTCGGCAGTACCCAGTGTGTGGTTGGCATAACTAACAGTTGAGATCTGTGAATCTGTGAATTCAGTGTACAGAATTAAACAATGAAAACAATAAAACTAAACAGAATACATTGAACTGTCATCTCTGGGCAGATTATTGGTCTCTACAAAGTGGTGTCATTTTCATTCCTAATAGAAATATGTCACTCTGAAATTTGATAACACTTGTTTGTTGTTGTTCTCATCATCGTCATTGTCAGCATTGCTGCTGCTCTTGTTTCAATTTAATTGGGCTTCTTCCATTATCTGGTTTAAAATGTAACATTCTAGAAGTTGTGACTTTTGGAAACTGTCTCTACATCATTTCAGTAAAACTCAAGAAGAGATGTTTACTTTGTAGGGTCTGTTAGACACAGGGGCATGCAGTAGCATAGTTGGTTGAAGCACTTTGCTGCAAGCTGGAAGGTCGCAGTTTCAGTTCCCAGTGTCATTGGATTGTTTCAAGTCTTCTATATATTGTAACGTGTCTGGAATCCAGAAGAGTCACTTCTATGGAAACGCTAGAACAGACCGTTGCAAAAGGAAACAACAATCACTCTATTGTAGTTCCAACACCGAATCTCCATGGTTACGACGAATACGCGAAGCGTTCCCACAGAGACAACGCAATAACAATGGGTCATTGCGTAGGAAACGCGGAACTGACAAAGCAACGTTTCCACCGCTGTAACAGAGGGTTCGTTGCATAGCAGCGACCAAGGTTATATAGCGGGGCTGAATGCATTCGACAGTCAGTCTTGGAATAGCCGGCTAAGAAGTCAGTCGTCATCGAGCCATCTAAGGAGTCAGTCCTAGAATAACCGCCGGAGATGAGAGTCCAGTGTCGGCTGGAATATTGTAAGCAGTAATTGTAATACTGCAAGTGCGAATGTTTGTAGAGTGTGTGTAAGGCGAGCGAACAGAATAAATTCGCTATACCAAACAACGGCATGAAGTTATTTGTCGCGTTATACACCCAAAACGTGACAATATATATATATCATGGTCTTGGAATGTGAAGTGTCTAAAACTGCAAGAAGAACTCGATAATATCCTTAGACATCGGGCTCTATTGTGGCAAGAAATGACACAGTTGCAGGTGCAGTTTGGGATGAAGACTGCAAGTTCAGAAACCCAACATGTTACAATATATATGTATGTATGTATGTAT